CTATCTATCTATCTATCTATCTATAACTGTGGACGTTCTGACCAGGAGGCGGGACCCTTATGGACCTCCCTATCCAATGGGAGGGCTGGAAGCATCACCACTGGCTGCTGATTCGCTTGGCTCTGAAGACAGGAGACGTTTCAACCATCTGGTCTGCGTATGGTGAGGGGGGACTGGCCGGACTGATGGGTCTGTCTGAAGAAGTTCACTCCCCCGATGAGCCTCATGTCCCTCGGGTTTGTTGTCTTCCTGAGCTACAGACATGAGATTTCTTTAAACTTTAGGTTTTGAAAGAAGTTATCGTTCCTGTTTGTTTCATTGGAACAATAAAATGGTCTTTAAATTTGTGTTGTGATTTTTTTAGGTCCCATATGTTCCGCCACAAGTTCCTCAGATCTCAGCTCCTCCACCTGCTCCTGCAGCAGCTCCACCACAGGTGACCCAGGCAAGAGCTTAGCTAGTGTTTAATCTTCAATAAGAATACAATAAATTCATATTTTGATTGTCTAGTATTTGAAAATTAAGCTGAAAGCAGCACATAGACAGCATACAGCAGATTTTGCAACGCAACGCACCAAAAAATATAATGCAATCAAACTAGTTTTAATATAATCTTATGAAAATTCTACACAGTGGCTGTAAGATTCTTGTTTATGTGGAAAATTATACTACTTATGTAATGAGATATTGAGTCGGACAGTGTAAGAGTAAATGTCTCTAGACCCAGCCAACGGCTTTGCCACTAAAAAGTGGAAGTGTCTGAACAGGATCCTTTGAGCTTGCATGCCTGCCATCTGATCTCTGCTGTCTCGTCTGTAGGTTAGCGAGCCAGCGCCGCCACCAAAGCCACCGCTGACCAGCGCAGTGGCCCGACCGGTGAGGAAAGCTCCTCCCACGACCATCCAGGATATGAGAAGGTTTCCAGAGATCATTCCAGTGCAGGAGGTCATTCTTGAAGAGACCGCAGAAGAAGATTCAAGCGCTCCACATTCAGAGGACAAAGGTTAGATGCCGAGTAAAGACTGAGGACTGGTAGCAGTGTGCACACAAAAACAAACAGCCAACACAGAGGCGTTAAAAAATACTGTTTAGTGATGAGGACTGCATGGTGGTGCAGTGGTTAGCACTGTTGCCTCAGCGCTAGAAGATCCTGGGTTCACACCCTGGCCTGGGATCTTTCTTTGTGGATTTTACATGTTCTTCCTGTGCAGTTCCCTCCCATAGTGCAAGATAATTGGTGATTCTAAATTGTCTGTAGGTGTGAGTGTGCTTGGTTGTTTGTTTCTCTGTGTAGCCCTGTGATAGACTGGTGACCTGTCCAGGGTGTCCACTGCCTTCACCCTGAGTCAGATGGGATAGACTCCAGGCCCCCGCGACCCTCGTGAGGATTAAGGGGTGTATAGATAATGATGTTTAGTAATGTGTTGGATCACCTTTGATCCCAGCAGGATGCCCCCTGAACCATTCTCAAACTACCACAGTAAAAATGTTCATGTTCAACACATCCCACTGGGCATATATGACTTAAATACCAGAAAAAAAAGTCCCACTGGGGCTGCAAGGTGGTTCGGTGGTTAGCACTGTCCCCTCGCAGCTAGAAGATCCCTGGTTAGGACACCCGGGATCTTTCTGCGTGGAGTTTGCATGTTCTCCCCGTGCAGCGTGGGTTCTCTCCGGGTTCTCCAGCTTCCTCCCACACAGTCCAAAAACATGTTGAGGTTAATTGGTGATTCTAAATTGTCCTTAGGTGTGAATGTGAGTGTGCTTGGTTGTCTGTCTCTAAGTGTAGCCCTGTGATAGACTGACAAAGTCTGCCTTCGCCCTGAGTCAGACTCCAGCCCCCTGCGACCCTACTGAGGATTAAGCAGTGTATAGATAATGGATGGATTTAAGTCCCACAGCATTTCCTACCTTTATCTGTTAAAGGAGGGAGCCTTTTGACAAGTTTCCACATGTTCAGGGCAATAGTGTTTTTGGCCACTTGGGAGCAGCAGAAGCACTGAACACAGACCTTTATGCAGTTGATATGGTACTGTTACCAAACAGTCTCCTACTGACACATCAAACAGACACAGAGCAACATTATCATTCAGTTGGGGTCATGTTTCTGGCCACCTGATGAATGTATGTCCGTTATTCACTGTCTTATAGTTCTGGGAAATGTCTGTTTCTGTAGCAGCTTAGTCCTCTACTGTGTTGACCAGCTTGCCAGTAACACTGTGTGACGAGCAGGTTGCGTACAGCGTCAGAAGATTTTATTTACATGCAAAGTGGGAGAGCAAGCGGTGTTACTGTTGCACAAAGATGTCGATACAGTGGAACATATTCTACTATGTATGAGGTCCATAAGTATGTGGACAGAGAGACAATTTGGGTCATTTTGGGACTTTGTAAAAAAAAAAAAAAAAGAAGCAATGTTGTGGTTCAACCAAATTGATTTTTAACTCTATATGTCATCACATTTCAAATCCATTGCAGTAACATACTGAGGCAATTATGAATGATGGAAACTGTGCCTTTGCTCAGATACTTACATTCCTGACTGTATATTTTCTGGTCATTGAGTACATGCACCCTGAACATAGCAGTGCTAGTTTACCTAATCTTTTAATCTTAACTGTGAAATGTTAATACTTGCCATAAATGCTAAGTTATTCAGTCTTTAATGAAGGAACCAGAGTATGTATTTGTAAAAAGCATTTAAATAGATGTATTTTATCGACTAATGTTTGATACTTTGAATTGTAGTCACCATAGAAACGCCCCGGTAGTCACATCCATGGTATGTACTCCCTGAAAGAGGTCCCTGTTTGGATTTAAACATGCTTATCTCTCCAATGTGCTTTTATTTTCAAAGGTGATGAGGAGTTTCAGAGCGCTGCTTACGGCTCGCCAACACTTTCATCTCCTCAGCAAGCAGGAAGCCTCCATCACATCGACAGCAACGCGGCGACGCTGACAGAGGCTTCGTCCTCCGTAGGTTCTCTGGATATTAAGACACCCGGCTGGTCACCTGAGCGACGTTCCCCTCTCCTGATTGGCTCCCCGGAGAAAAAAGCTGGCATCCCTGGAGAATCAAGCACTACCCTGTATTTCAGTGCCGATGCGCAGTCTCCCTCCAGTGGCAGCTATCTCGGCTGGGGCTCCGAGTTGTCACCCATCTCCACCTACCGAAGTCCCTACAGAATCAGGGAGGCCCGTTTTGTCACATCCACCCCACGGCTGGAGCCTCGAGCTGGGGCTGAAAGTCCAGGCCTGGCCCCTGTGGTCGTCATCCCTGCCACTCCTGGCACAACACCAGGCGGGACACCCGGTGGCTCGACTCCTGCAGCCTCGACTCCTGCAGCCTCGACTCCTGCAGCTTCGACTCCTGCAGGTTCCAATACCGCAGCTTCGACTCCTGCAGCTTCGAATACTGCAGCTTCGACTCCAGGTGCTTCAACTCCCGGTGCTACCACGCCTGGCATTGCAATCGTTCCCCTCAGCCCAGTCATCTCCCACGCTCGCAAACAGCTGGTCCAGTTTGTGGACAGTAGAGAGAGAGCGGTGTAAGGTGGGTGAGGGTGCAGAGGAAGGAAAATCCTGGGTGGGAGATGAGGTCTTTTTTCAGTTTAGCTCTTCAGGATATACATGAATTCATGCATTAACTAATTGGGGGAGGACTTGGTGGGGAGTTGGGGGTCTTTTCAGCTCATCTTAAAGTCGTGGAAGCATATAAGTATAAATTACTGTTTATGTTTTTCCCCTCGTGTGCAGATACAACAGATAAAATGTGCGTGTAAAGGGACACTCGCCGACATCGGGACATTGCTTTAATTCTTAATAGCGGAACCCCTGGCTTCTCCAGTCTTTTCAGCTTCAACACTAAGCAGTGTTTGTCAGCTGGCGATGGATAATATTGCAGCAGTGGCGTCTCCTGGTTGCAGCTGCATGGAGGAGGGTTGAAGATCCTCCTCACATGTGATGTTGCTTGTTGGCAGGTCAATAACAGGGTAAATCCATTATTCCTATGCGAGCAATCCGAGCAGGTCGCAGCGACAAACACTGCTGTCCGTTCCCAGTTAGGGTAAACTGGGGGATGTTGAAACTTACATATCGTATTTAACTTCTGTTTTTCAGTAAAAACCAGTCGCTGAGAAAAATAGAAAAATTGACTACAGACAAGTATTCACAGAAAATTAAAGAAAAACTGAATTTTCCAGGTGCTAATGAACGTGAAGCTTCACTTTCATTCATTTACAAACAAAATAAGAAGAAAGTCTAAAGCAGCTACGTCTCGAGTCAGCCGATGTCACTTTGGATAAAACTCAAGAGGAAACAAATTGATTTGAATAATCATCATTAGTACGACGCCACTTCAGTTATGATGGTTACAATGACAAAGCTTAAGCAATCATAAAGTTAAGACAGAGTTATTTACTGCTAGTTGGATCCCATTAATCAAGAAATTACAAAACAACTAGTTTACAGTAACCAACACGCTGTCTGCCAGGCTACCAGTCTTTTTATTTTTCTTTTAGGTTTGTCTCTTACATGGACACTGAGGATTTGTGATAAAATATATAAGCAATGTATACTAATGCAATTCAAGCGAAAATTCAAAGCTTCTGATTTTATTCTGCTTGAAAATTCTTATTCTCTTCTCATTTTTTAAAAAACCTTTGGATGATGTTGAACATCCCGTCCAGTTTTCAGGAAGCCACTCATGTATCCAATCAGTCAGTGACTCGCTGTATTTACTGTATTTACTGTATCTACTGTATTTACTGTGCAGCACACGGTTGGTGTTTACACACATCGCTGTCACACACAAAGAAACAGAGAACTTACCATCTGTCAAACTGTAAAATCTGTTAGCTGAAGAATCTGTCCTTGTTTTAATGAAACTATCAGATAGGCAAAATGGCAAAAAGCAAAGGTTTAAAGTCAAAAAATATTGTAAATAATCACAAGTATTGCAAATTTGCTTTAACTGCAATAATTTCAATCAATGAGCACTTTAGAACACAAAAGGTACAACTTATGTTTATTGCTAGCGAGCTGATTAGCTGTAGCACGATGTTTTGCAAACTACACTATGGATATGATGAAGGGAGCTGTGAAAGGTAATCAAGCAATATAGAATGATGACGAAGTGTTAGCAGATGTTTCTGTTGTTATATGTAATTCATTTAATTTACCTCATTTATTTTTTAATGTGTATTTTATATCAATCGTATCTTTTAACTGTCTATTATAAGCTTATGACCTGCAATAATTCTCTATATCTATAAAGAAACAGGCAAAAAGTTTTGAGAATTTAGACAATCTTTCCCACATGTTGAAGCTTTTTCTAATGTTTGGCCCCCAAAAATTACAAACAAGAACAAAAGACGCAGAAAAGCTACAACACAATTATTCTGCACAGCAAAATTAATGATTGTATTCTTTACCCTAACAGAGAGGAAGTAACTTTTGTGAACATCTCTGACAATCGCTTCTTGCTTCTGTTTAACTGATGAAGAAACGGAATTGATCAAATCCTATGTATGATGCAGGAGGATGATCTGCAGAAGCATCGTTTTTCATTTCTGTGTTTTGTTCATGTGAATTACAACAACACTGTACATGCTGGGATGGGAGTTGATCCAACTCACTGCCTGGTGCTTTTTAGACCAAGCAAACGTTGCCGATTTTTAAAAAAAAGGCTTCTAACTTTTACATTTCAGTTAGATTACTTACTTACTTCACTACATAACTATTGATTGGTAAAATATCAGCATGCATCTGATCTTCGGTTGTGCTCCTGCAGAGTCTGTTCAAAGAGCACATGTGACATCACAGCCCTCGAAATAAATGGAAAAGCTTCACAGACTTGGACACCAGTTAAAATTTTTATGTTAAAAAGTATAATACTGAAATTAGTTTGCAAGTTATAGAGCATTTATTAAATTAGGAAAATCTAATTTTGATCTAACTAATAAGCTGTATAACTCCTATAAAGCCCAATATTCACAAATATGTGTGTCCCTTAGTTAAACGTCCTACCTCAATAAAACTGAATCTCCATGTGGTAAAACTTTTTTTTTTTTTTTTGAGAACATGTACTTTCTCTGTCTGTGACTGAAAACTTTTTTTATGTCTTAAAACATTTTTACTAATGTAGCTACCAGAAGGACAAAAGCTAAGTGAGGTTCAGAGTACAAACAAAAAGGTATAAATGATGTGCTGCCAGTATTGTGTCATGATATGAATACTATTTATTTAGATATGCGAAATGTAATTATACTCATAGAATGTGGTACTTGACAATAACAGTCTTCCATGTGAATATGTCTGTTTTTCAGTTTTCTTTTCCTATGCTAGATTATTTTTTACCTAAGCTCTTTGTTTTTAATCAGAATATTGTATCTGAACAACAGTAACTGGAGGATCAGTGTCTGTAACAAGCAGACAGATTGTTGTGCAGCTCATGTTTGAACGTGAGAAACATGAGCAGCACTTTGACAGTAAACTGTAAATTGGGATTCATGGAACAAGATACAGAGAAAAAACTTGCTTTTGGCTTCATCAAACTGTGTCAAAGTGATCTCCATGTACCGCAGCCTGCTGATAGATAAAGGAGTCACTGCATGTTACTCGTCCATTCGGCGGAGTCGTACCTCCTCCTCCCATAGAGAAAGAAAGCACTTACTTTGACTACACATGCACATTACAGTAGTTAACACACATGCTTGAATGTATGTGTACGCAACAGCAATAAGTCAGCAAATGAAATGTGTCTTAGTGCACTGATAAAAAAAAAATAATATCCAGCTTTAGACTGCAACGATGCCTTGGCTTGATTATCACCAATCAGCGCTTTGCCTTGTAGAGAGACGGCTTCTGCTGTCACGCTTGTCTCATGTATGTATATTGCTTTCTAATAGCACACTACGCTTTGCTTTGTGTACCTGATGTATGCGATAATACTTACCTGTGTTGACGATTGGATTCATTTTGTATTTTTTCAAAATGGTCTTCTTTTATATTTCGATCACATTTACTGTTCTGAAATGTGTGGACATGGTTTCGTGTTGAAGTTTCACGTGTGAGAACAGATAGTTTTCATTGACAGACTTTGAATCGGGTTGACGGTTGAGTGTAACTTCACCGCAGTCACTGGACGGCCTCCGTTCATCAACATGCGTCACCTTTATCTCTGCAAGGGTTTTCCACAGAGCAGCTGTGGGTGGTAGTCGTGACTCTTAAGTGTGCTATTGATGTGGCAAAATAAAGTCATTAATCATGATCGAAACCCTGTGATCTGTTGCATTTCATTGATTACCTTTGGCAAGGTGGTGCAGTTGGTAGCACTGTTGCCTCGCAGCAAGAAGGTCGCCGGTTCGCATCCCGGTAGGGGCACCGGAATCTTTCTGTGTGGAGTTTGCATGTTCTCCCCATGCAGGGTGGGTTCTTCTCCGGGTTCTCCAGCTTCCTCCCACACAGTCCAAAAACATGTTGAGGTTAATTGGTGATTCTAAATTGTCCGTAGGTGTGAATGTGAGTGTGCTTGGTTGTCTGTCTCTAAGTGTAGCCCTGTGATAGACTGGTGACCTGTCCAGGGTGTCCCCTGCCTTCACTCTAAGTCGGCTGGGATAGACTCCAGCCCCCCCGCGACCCTAGTGAGGATTAAGCGGTGTATAGATAATGAATGGATGGATGGATGATTACCTTTGACTCATGTATCTTCAGTGATGATGATCATATGTGATCCTTAAACACAAAACAGCCTCATTAGCCTGGTTTGTAAATCAGCATCACAAAGTACGTGCACTGGATAAACCTGCTGGAGGGGCTCAGGGATTAAACCCCACTCTTCTGTACGCCCTGTTCCTGTGCCTCATGTTTACATGGAGTTTTATTAAAGACAAATTATAAAAGGACTCAGCACCATGTCAGCATAACGTTAGCTGAAGTCACAAAGGTCTTGGTTTAGACAAAGGGCCTGTCCTCCAGAGAGCCTCATGATCAGATAAAAAAGCAGAAATCAAGTTAAAGCCTGATTGTGTAACTTAATATTGACTTTAAATTCATTCAGTTCAGGCCAATACAGTTAAATGTGTCCTTGCTGGAGTAGTTGAAAACAGCAGCCCACCACGCATTTCATCAAAAACACAATTAATTGTTTCATTGTCAAATTACATTTTTAACTTTGTGCAAAACACATTATTTTAAAAAGTAGATGGTCAACCGCTCAGCACACTTTAACTACGACTTTAACAACTGTTTTGTTTCTAAATAATGTTCTAACAGGATAATTGTACGTGCTCACAGAACAATGTGATCCAGGTCGCCCTGTCTGGTCGAATAAGAAAGTGTTTTTGGTCAAAAAGAGGATGTGCTCTTATGCAACTTGTTGGGTGAAACAATAATTAAAGCTGCCGTGCTACAGTATTTTTCCCATCTCATCATTTTGAAAGTCAGATGACAGACTCATAAAAGGAAGAGAAAGCGACGAGACAGTCAGCATTTTCCTGTGGTCGGTGATCCACAGCACGACACAGCATGAAAGACAAAAAAAAATGTCACCATCAGTTATAAATCACAAGATGCTGCTCAAAGGAATGACTTTAGATCTGTGAGTAACAGATATTTTAAAAAGAAAAACTCATTTGCCATATGTATGTGACACAGTGTCCAGTTCCTCTATAACTTACAGGATACTGCAGAGACACTACAGCCCATTACGTGGCTGTGTAGGTAATAAGATTTGGAAATGACTGAAAGACTCATGTGGGTAGTTTCAGCAGACTGCTAGAGTTCTCTGCATGCTTGTAGACTTAACTAATCTTGTCGGTTTACTACGACTTTATGTGACAATCTGAACAATTCACTGTCTTGATTTTTATTAAGTAAAAAATATGATGGCCTTTAAGCAAACGTCTTACTCTGATGAAAAACAAATGATCATTGGGTCCGAGTTGCATTTATTTAAAGGCGTAGTGAAGTACTTTAGACTAAGAATGGCAAGTTGTTCATACCTAAGACGTGAGGATGACACTGACTGGTTAATGGTTACTGGTTAATGAATCAGGGATGCTTAGAAGAGGACAAGTGAGCAGTAGATGTGTACTCCCAGACCTCAGGACTGTCAGGGGTTACTGTCAGTATTTATTTTATTTCCATTTTATTATTATTTATNGGACTGTCAGGGGTTACTGTCAGTATTTATTTTATTTCCATTTTATTATTATTTATATCACCTTTTAACTTTTTTTCCCCCTAGACTGTGACCATATTAGGTGCTGCAAAAATGATCCTAAATGTTGTATTTCTTGTACAATGATAATAAAGCTTCTTCTTTATATACAGATATGGCATTTGTACTTTAAAGTTAGAAAGAGTAAAAGTGCGAAATTATATTATTGCACTTGAGGAGTTATAAAGAGCAAAGGAGAGTTAGGTTATTTATTTATTTTTATTACTAAATTAAATTGTGAGCAAATCTATGGAGTAGTGAGAGTTTGCACAACGACATTCCTACTGCACACCTTTTTTCTGCACATCTTTGCTTTTAAATGTTGCTTTAAATTAAATGTGGCTTTAAAACCAAAAAAAAAAAAAGAAAAGAAAAAGTCGCTTTAAATTAAGAGTCGCTTTAAAAGCAAAAAGAAAAAAAATGTCAAAAAATTTTCAATGTCACTTTGAAAGCACAAAAGAAAGAAAAAAAAGAATTAAAAAAAACTTAAAAAATAATTTTTTAAATAAATTTTAAAAAATGAAAATGATAAAAAAGTAAAAAAAAAAATAGTATTCAATTAACTATTATTATATTTATTATTTTTTATTTCCACTTTTATTTGTTTTTTTCAATTCTTTTATTGATTTGTTTTTGTAATTTGCCAGTCTCACTGCTCCACACAAATGAACATGGCGGGATTTTCATTGTTTTAAAAAGTGAACGGTGACCTTCAGCGCCTCCCAGCGGTCAGAGTGAAGTAGTGCACATACACTGCAGCAAACTCTCCCTATTAAAAATTAATTTTGACCTATTATAATCAGACTGGGATTGATATTTATTTTCTGTGATTGTTGAGTATTGTTCATACACACTGAGACGCCCACAGACAGCGGACCGACGCGGCTCGGTGACCGTTGGAGCGTCGCTGAGTCACATGAGCTCCGTTCATGTGACCGGCTCACGTGCTCGCAGCCGTAAATAAAGGCAGAGGCCGCTTCAGAGACAGACAGACGGACTGACGGACACAGAGGAGAGCTGGAGCTGAAGAATTAAACCAACTCACGCTAACAGCTGACAAACTAACCACAGGTACCTGGTTTTTCTTCTTCTTCTTGTCGTTTTGTTGTTCAGCTTTTAGGCCGTGAGTTGCACGTTGTTTACCTGGAGCCACAGCAGCTAGCTAAATCTGTTACATGGTACTGAAAGTGGTGGCGGCAACAAGCTAAACGGTAAAGTTGTGTTCATATTTCTGACTCACTACCAAAAAAACAACAAAACAAAACAGTCTCAAATGTAGCAGGTGGCTCATTTGTTTTCATGGCTCATGTTGTTTTTCACTGCGACCTGATTTAGCTTCACGGTCAGAAGGGAAACATGGAGGTGGAGCTAACAACACATGTATCATTACTTATTAATTAGTCTGTTGATCACATCTAATGGAGGCACTTCGTATCTCAGCTGCACTCAGAAAATAATGGAACACTCTGAGGGTAAAATGAGTGTGAAAGATGACACCAGAATGATTCAGGGGAATGGAAAGTGAAACTAGTGTTTTATAAGAGCAGCCATTCTGTCTTCTGCTTTATCCTCATAAACAGGGAGGCTTGTTTTAACATGTCTGAGGGACAACACAGGGTCAGAGGTGGATTAGGAAACCTAAAAGGAACTGGAATCATCATCCAGCTTGCTACCATGTAGGCTTCACTTCCAAAGAAATGCTTTTAAAAAAATTAAATAAAAAACAGTCAGTGTTACCAGGAAAGACTAAATCTATGCGACCTGAAGGCTTACTGTTAGCAGGCCCTCAGCATTATGACCAGGAATGAGGAAATAAGTTTTATCTGTCTGTAGGCAAACAGAGGACAAACCAACCAGTTTTTTTTTTCCCCCTGTAGTGTTTATCTAATCTGTCACCTTGTTCTAAAAAATAAAAAAATGTTGTTCTAGTTTTAAATGACCAACCCAAAAGTAGAGCAGTACTAATCAGTGTTGTCATGATTAGTGTAGATAAGGACAGACTGAAGAAACAAAGGTCTCCTTCAGGTGAACCCACCCCACCGCTGTAGGATTTAGATCAAGTTAATCAGTTGTACCAAGCTGATGAGGAACTCCAGTGACTTATATCTGTAGCTTTGGCACTGACTCATATTTTCTATATTTCACAACCTCTTGACCTTTAAATGTCAGATAGGAAATGGTAAGTTAGCATCAGAAAAACACTGGCCACAAGCTGAAATGGGGGGGGGCTGTTTTTGTTATAGACAATTAGGAGATGTAAGAGTACTTTCTGAGAAAGGCTTCGCAGCCCTCCACGATGACTCAGCAGCATAATGTAGACCTGCTGTTGCTGTGATGAGCCTGTTGACAGTCATTGATGTTGTACTGATTCCTTTCAGGCAGTCAGCAGGCGGATGTTTCACTTCCTTAAATCACATCAAACCATTGTTTTCGTGAAGCTACAAGTTTTTTTTTTGTGGCGGCACCACTTCTCTAAAATCTTAACCAACAATTCTTGGTGTCTTTCAGACTTGCAAGTCATTTGATAAATTTATTTTGGCCCAAATGTGAACACATGGATTGCTGTTGTTTTTAACGCTCCATAGTTTGCACACAATCAATAGTTTGTGTGTTCACAAGGCGGGCAATACAATAGTAGATAATCCAGCAGCAAGAGGACCCACTGACATCTCTGTGCACACAACCCGTTACCTTGACCTTATGGTGGTGAATACACTTCTGAAGTCGCTTAAAAAAGGAGCTCGGTTTCGACTGTAGAGATGGAAAGTTTTACTTCAGCGTGATCTCCGAGCACGCGTCCTTCTGCAGAAGGGAGTTTTCTGTTCTTACTTCCCTTTATGTACTTTTTGCTGATTATGTTCCGTCAGCCTTGCTCATGTGATATGAAACCAGTTTTCACTAGAACTCAAATGTAGCTGAAACAAGGCATGCCTAAACAGGTGTGCTGAGTTTACAGGTGCCTGACAAGACTGGCTGTTGTTCTCAGTCTGTGAGGCACTGTGCCAAAAGCACCGAAGGTCTAAACCTGAGGTGTCAAATACGTCCGTGGGGAATGATGTTCATCAGCAATCTCCCTCAGGTTTAGTTTAGGTTCATTTTAAAGGACAGTTGGGTCAAACAAAATCCTCAGTAGTATTTTTGCCTTAAAGTCTTAAATTGTAAATTCATCCCATCATGGAAGAAACTCAGTGTCTGCTTTGGTATTGATTTTGCTGGACATCCTGTACATCCTGAGCACAGCCCAGACTTTTATTTTATAGACTACATTATGATCGCTAATGGAGCTGAACCCAACTCTCATCAGTGCATTTCACTGCCCATAATATGGCCTGTATTATGAATACACTAGGGCCATCTGGAGGATTCTTGTATTACAATATGAGTTCCTGTTTGCATTGAGTATTCTTCTGCAGCATGAACTGAAACAGCTTACAGTTAAGTGGAAACACGGCATCACACAGGAGCAAATCCCCTTTATATTCTAAGTTTAAAGTCCTTCTCTGAAGTTAGTGAATGTACATTTGCAGTCAATTTAGTTTTATTTATATAGCGCCAGTTCACAACATATATCATCTCAAAGCACTTCACATAGTGGGCAGGTCACCAAATGTATGCAGAGAAACCCAACAAATCCAAAGATTTACATTTAATGAATTAGATTCAATCTATGGGCTGTGTGCTGCAGTTCCAATGGTCCTGTAGTTTAACCACTGGAACTGACTCTGACCAGCATGACCGAGGATAAGAGGGTTTCCTTTGCTGTTTGAGTACACTCCATATGAGTGTTCCACTTGTAGCTTCGACCAGTGTGACCGTGTCTAATCAGCTGAGAACTTTTTTTTTTTGCCAGCTGAGTAACTCCAAGAGTGTATCTAAGTGGGGAATGTCATGTGTCCAAGCACAACATTATGTTGCTGAAGGATTTATTCACGACAAATGTGAAATTCTTTCTTCATCCCTTTGAGTTTTCAGTAACTGCTTCATTTTTCCTGATGTATCTACTGTACATGTCTTTATTTTATGCATTATACTGCAGCTTTCTTTGTGAGACATTGTAATCCCTTCAGTCTTCATGTGTCAGAGCTACAGAAAATGTAAATGATTATTTTGCCTGAATTAGAAGAGTCTGTTTTTTTAAAACAGGCTTTGGTATTTTATGATTTAAGTTCAGTGACTGAATCAGAATCGATTTAACGGCTACAGCTCAGAGCGTTTGAGTGCACTGTTTAAAGTAAGTAACCAAAAAACTTGCCTCTTCTTCATTTTGTGTCTTTTTTTGTTTTTTTTAGGGACAATGTGGCGCGCAGCCTTCCTCCTGCTGGCTGCCAGCATTGCAGTGAGCCTGGCCAGACCTCACCTCAAGCCAATGTCCAGCGACATGGTCAACTACATCAATAAGATCAATACGACCTGGAAGGTGGGTTTGGCTTTTTTTCCCCCCCTCCCCTTGGACATCTTTCAATAAAGAAACAATAAAGAAAAGGAGTTTTGTTTGACTGAATCTCATCCCTGTCCTGCAGGCTGGTCACAACTTCCACAATGTTGACTACAGTTACGTCCAGAAACTCTGCGGCACAATGCTGAAGGGACCTAAACTTCCAGTCATGTGAGTATCACTGATGCTTTGTGTGTCGGTTATGAAACACAATAGATCAGTGTAGTATTCCAGTATACTTTCATGTTAGTGAGTGCACTGTGTAAATCTGACAGTTTTCAGTGACTGTAACACCTTTCTAAGCAACACCTCTACATCAAGTTATACAGCACTACCACTGAGTAATACTTGACTCTGTTTTCCTCTGCAGGGTTCAGTATGCTGGAGATGTGGAGCTGCCTAAAGAATTTGATGCCAGAGAGCAGTGGCCCAACTGTCCCACCCTGAAGGAGATCAGAGACCAGGGCTCCTGTGGATCCTGCTGGGTGAGATATTAACTCACTGACCATATGTAGCTGGAGTATTGGCCTCAGAAAGCTTAGCAGTTAAACGCCATGTGATTAATACTATCCCTAAGCCCTGAGATCAGACAGAGGAAAACTCCACACTAAAAAGTGGTTTAGGTCAAAAAACAAAAAGCCTAAAACTGATCAACATCAAGTTACCAGTATTTGTGCCCATCTAATTTTGATGCTCTTATCAGGTATAATGTCACCTGCAGACCGTTTCCCTGTTTAATGTCTTTGTCGTTCTGCTCCCAGGCGTTCGGTGCTGCAGAGGCCATCTCTGACCGTGTGTGTATCCACAGCAATGCCAAGGTCAGTGTGGAGATCTCCTCTGAGGATCTGCTGACCTGCTGTGACAGCTGTGGCATGGGGTAAGAGGCAGCAAAGCGGCAGAATTTCTTTACTTTGTCATGTTCATATGTCCCTTGTAGATAATTGCAGTGACCTGTAGCGTGTGGATGATAAACCAGAGCTCGGTTGCGAAGAATGTTGTTTGAAATTTTAAATTACTGGGTATTAAGGGGTGAAATTTTGATTTTAACTCAAAATAAGCTCAGTGAATGATTTCATGCCATGTGACCAAGATGAAAATGATTCCAGTGAGTTCCACAGAATAAGGCATTTTTAGTGTGGAAAGAGCACAGTTAATGAACGGGAATGATATCAGAACCAAGAGGCAGGGTACAGAGTTGGTACTGGGAGAAAAAAGGTCAAACCAGTGACTCCCTCTATGGTGCAGTGTAAACATTTGGAGTTGGGTGCACAGATTGAGTCTAGCAATTAAAGGATGACATTTTGGTATTGATTTGCTTTTCCTTTTGGTCTCGTTTTTAGATGTAATGGTGGCTACCCCTCAGCTGCCTGGGATTTCTGGACCAATGAGGGACTTGTCACTGGAGGTCTATATGACTCCCACGTTGGTGAGTTACTGTCTGTAATAAGACTTACAGTGATACACATACGTGTGTAGATGTGTCAATAATGCAGACACTATATCTTTGTGCCTCCAGGCTGTCGTCCCTACACCATCCCCCCCTGTGAGCACCATGTGAATGGCAGCAGACCTTCCTGCACTGGAGAAGGTGGCGACACACCCCAGTGCATCACCATGTGTGAATCTGGATACACACCGGCCTACAAAAAGGACAAACACTTTGGTAAGAAAGGCAGGAAAAAATGTAATGATTGGTGTTATAATATTCACTTGGAATTACTATATGTAAGGAGAAATGAGATAACATTTGTTTTGTTCCCACCCTGCGATTTGATTGAAGTATTTAGACTGTTACATTATGCCTGGTTATGAATCAGTTTAGTTCTGTTTCACTAATAATTATAAAATATGAAAACGAAACAGCATTTTAAATAGTAAACGGTCTGAGTTTAACGATTACGATCCTCAGTGTCTCAGTGGATGCACACATTTTATAAAAGACCATTTTGTTACAAATTTTGTTCACTGAGACACAGTCATAGCTTTATTAACCACTTTCATGTACCACAGGCAGGATGTTTATGTCCTGAGGATGTGTCTAACATTACTGTTGGTGACCGCACACACACATGCGGCAAGATCCTAATCCAAAGTGTGTTACAGGTAAAACGTCTTACAGCGTGGAGTCCGACGAGAAGCAGATTCAGACTGAGATATACAAGAACGGCCCAGTAGAGGGAGCATTCACAGTCTATGAAGACTTTGTTCTGTACAAGTCTGGTAAGAACACCTAAACACACCAGTAGCACGTGTAATACAAACACACATTACCCTGAACATGTGCACTCAGCCTGTTGAGTACAGGGTTATCGCTAACTGCATATTTTGCTCAGTGATTGTGTACAGTTTTGTTTCTGACCTGGTGGTTCCCTCTTGTGTTCCTTGCGTCCTCTTCTTGTCTCCAGGTGTGTATCAGCATGTGTCAGGCTCTGCTGTGGGAGGACACGCCATTAAGGTCCTGGGCTGGGGAGAGGAGGATGGTGTTCCCTACTGGCTCTGTGCCAACTCCTGGAACACTGACTGGGGTGATAATGGTAAGCAGGGACACATATTTTACTGCTTAAACTCTCACCCAAAATAGTCAGAGTGAGATATTAGAATCACTGCAGTTTGTGTGTTATACAGCATTAGACTGTAGCCTTAAGTGACCACACTGCTGAACCAGCATTTCTCTCACAGTGTCACAAAAACATAACCTTCATAAAGACAGATCGTTTTACAGGGTTATTGAATTACACTGCAATCAACTGATCACTAGCACCTAAAGTGCTGCTACCTTGATACACATCTTACTTCACTATGTTTATTTCAACCCCGAACTTTCCAAATGAAGATTTTATATGCAAAACAATACTTTAGGTTCATTTTCACTGATAGGTTTTACACTATGGTATGGCTCTTTCACTTAAACAACGAACATAGCTGTAAATTTACAATTCTGACATGCTTGTGTACATGTATGTGTACGCCACATTCACAGTGAATGAGACCTACGATGTACTCTCGTACTCAAGAGAACTAAATGTGTGATGCCTACAAATACATGTGTGTTTTCTTAGTTCAGCTTGCTACACCAAACTGATTTCTGTATGTCTCTGATCTTCAGGATTCTTTAAATTCCTGCGTGGATCTGATCACTGTGGTATTGAGTCTGAGATTGTGGCAGGGATTCCCAAGTAAAACCTAAGGTAAGACAACAAACCGGCATGTGATGAGGACGTAAAGTATTTGTCACAAACAAACCTGTGACTATTGTGTACCTGTAAAGCTGGCACTGTGTTGCAATTATGTTATCTCAGAAACCAGACTGGATTGCATTGTATTCAAGCACAAGACTTGCTGGTCTTAACTGAAAGTAAATTCATAAATTCCCTTTTACCATCCCCGTACCTCCTGTTTTAAATCTGAGTAGTATTTCAACACCAGTTTTAGTAAAGCTGTGGCTTTAAGTCTTAATGTGTTGTTTTTTTCTCATGCAGGTTTTGAAGTGCACCGTTGTTATATCATCACTAGAGGGCGACACACTCCACTTGCCTGTCACAGAACTGTGACCACAATTTACTGCTTTTAGTCCATTTAGAGTCAACTGATCACTTTGCTGTCAAAAAAAAAAGCCACATGCTGTATGTGCAAACAGAAAACCTCAAGCAGCCTTCACTTCACGTAGGTGGATTTGCAGATCTTTTCGCAAAAATAGCAAGAATGTGCTTGCGCACACATCTCCATTGTCTAACTGATGGTGAGTGTCTGTGAGAGGGCTTGAGAACAGGTTAGTCTAAAGCTTACACAGGAGGATGATGTTTAAAGACACACCTGTGCATTTATCTCTGCTGCTTTGAAACAGGCTGTCACTGTTGTAGAGGTGATTGAATTTGTCCCTGCCACCACATTTTTTCTGCACCTGTGAACATTGTAGGCCATTTTAGAGCAATGCAGGATATAATTGAATTTTTATTTAATTGTAAATGAATTTTAAGGTTCTGCCTAATGGAGCAGATGAGATATGTTTGTTTTGAATGATTCTAATTTGCAAAGATCCCATTTTTTTATATCGATTGCTACTTTTATCCCTCTGATGCAACCACTACTACTCCATAACATAACAGATGTACTGTCTGTAACCAAGGCCTGTTTAGTGTTTTTAAATTGAACATTTTTTAAATATGGTAGGAAATTAGTTGGAGTGTATTTGTTTGCCTGTATTAATCATAATATTGGCACATTGTTTTTAATTAAATAAAAAATTTTATGAATCTTTGGTCCCTTTGGGTTTTTACTCAATTTCTAACATTTATTGACTGATTTCAAACCCCACGAGGCTGCCTCTGGATTCCTATGTCCATCCATCCATCCATCCATTATCTATATACCCCGGGGGGGCTGGAGTCTATCCCAGCTGACTCAGGGTGAAGACAGGGGACATCCTGGACAGGTCACCAGTCTGTCACAGGGCTACACTTAGAGACAGACAACCAAGCACACTCACATTCACACCTACATTTGTATGACAAGTTTTTGCGCTTTTTTTAAAAGGAAGGACACACACTGAAAAAAGGAATTTCACAAACACTAGGAGGTCATTGAAGTTCCCGCAGGAATGAATGGAGTTCTGACTAATTTGTATACGAACACAGAAGTATGAGTAAGTGGCACAGCTCTTAGACCTCACAGTTCCCTGGAATGAAAACGAAAACTAGATTCCTTTTTTACATCACCTCCTCCATGAAGGAGTTTTGTCCTCTGGTGATGAAAGAGGAAAGTTGACTGTGTTCATCTCCCATTAGGTTCCCGTCTCCACAGATGTGTGCAGTCAAATTCAATACTGTCGTGGTATTTGATTAGTTGTAGTTTTGTTTCATGTTGTATTTTGAACAGATCCCTGTCCATGATGTTTCTAATAACTTTCTGTCTCGGTCCGTTTCCCTCTGTTAATTGTAGGCTTTGTAATTAATTAATTTAGATTAATCACATATTTATCAAATAGCAATATTTGACATAATAAGCAAAGTTTTTCAATTTAAATACATTTTGGTTGATGACTGAATCAGTGAATAGATGTGAACTTTAACAACAATTAAACAATATTTGTCTCTGTGCATTTTTTATCTGTCTGCTAAATTCACAGATTAGTGCAAACTCAAAGTGCAATTACAGCTATTATAGTCAACATGTTAAGACTTTTTTTTTTTTAAATAACACTTTCAGTGTCTTGAAAACATTTAAAGCATATGCCAGGGAACCCTGACCAATATAATTGGTAAACAAAACATCTTTGGCAAAGTAAACAGACCAACAGATTAATAAGAAGGTGCCATTTCTGCCATTGAAAATGGTAAACAACAAAATGTAGCTATAGCAGTTTGATAAACATTTTAGTGCTTTATAACAACTCTGTTGGCCTCACAATACCTCTAAGGCTATGTCTTCTCTTTAACTCAACTCAACTTTATTTATAAAGCATTTTAACATAACAAAAGTTCAAAGTGCTGAACACAAAATATAAAACAATTTTGAAACATCTGAAATGCAAAATACAATAAAAGTATAATAAAATCATTGAAAATGACAATAAGAACAGTAAAAACAGTAAAACAATAAAACAAGAGTCTCATGATGGGTCAAAGGCCAGGGCATGAAAATTAGTTTTCAGACAGGTTTTAACAATGGACAGTGATGGTGTTTCTCTAACGTGCAGCAGCAAAGAATTCCAGAGCCTTGGAGCTGCTCTGTCCCCTCTGAGCTTCCGCCTAGACCTCAGAACCTCCAGAAGCAGCTGATCAGCTGATCTGAGGCGCTGGGCTGGCAAATAAAGAGAAATCAGCTCAGAGAGGTACTGTGAGGTGAGACCATGTAAGGATTTAAAAACAAACAAAAGAATCTTAAAGTGAACTCTAAAATGTACAGGCAGCCAGTGAAGCGAAGCTGAAACCAGTGTAATGTGGTCTCTCTTATGAGCTCGAACCAGGACATGAGCAGCCGGACTAGTTGGAGACGTGAGAGAGACGACTGGCTGACTGCAAGATAAAGAGAGTTACAGTAATCCAGCCAGGAAGTGATAAATGCATGGATTACTGTCTCAAAATGTGGAGCTGTTAAAAATGGTTTCGCTTTAGCAAGTTGACACAGATTAAAAAAGCTTGACTTTACCACGATCTAGTTTAAAATCACTGTTCAATTTAAAAGCCAAGTTAGAAACAGTTGGTTTATTTATATCTTTACTGCACTTTGTAAATAAATTCACTTCTGCGTTCATCCGTCTGTCTGCCGTGTCTCTGTCGTCTGTGCCTGAGTTCCTGAACCGTTCATAACACCTGTGGTTCACTGTATCAAATGCTGCTGTTAAATCCAGCAGGACAAGGACCACTTTCTCCTACAGTTTTGATATAAAAGGCATTTTGTAGATAGGTCTAAAGTTAGCCAATATGGTGCTGTCAAGGCTGTGCTTTTTAAGCAAGGGTTGAACAACTGCATGTTTAAAAGTGGCAGGAACAACGCCAGCAGCCAGGCTACTGTTAATAATGGTGAGGACCATCTGGGCTACAGTGGGGTAAATCTCTTTAAAAGGATGAGGTGGGATGGCATCTAGAGGAGCGCCTGATGCCTTAATCTGTCTGATCACCTCATCTAAGAATGACAAAGACACAGACTCACACTTTTCAAGAACAGCTGAGCAGGGGACTTTAAGCCAGTTACTGAGACAAACGAGCCCGTTTTCAGAACTCAACGCTGCCCTTTTTTAAAATTGTTTCCTGGTAGTGAGAAAAGCCTCTCCCAGGGGAGAGAAGTGGCGGTGCTTGCCAGATACTTTCAGGCTTGGACAGGCGGCTGTGGATGTGCTCCTGCATGAGTTGACCACGGCTGCAGTGGGCAGTCTGTTTCTCTGATGGTGGGTCAGCTCTGGAGAGGCTCAGGGCACAGTTTGTCATCTAATCTGAAGAAAACAACTGCAGGCATTTCCTCTCTGGTGACTCCTCTGGGCTCTGGAGTAGCTCTGTTGGATTCTTCTTGCAGTAGTGCCTCAAGGCTTATCCGTACCCGTTCTTGCTCTTCTCTTAGTACACACTTTAAATCCTTAAAGCATGGGTCGAGGGCTTAAGCCACCTGAGTGGGCATTCAGATAGGTCCTTCATGCAGGCAGTCTTGAAGCTCACCATGTAGTCCTCATCAGAGACCTTCATCTTTTCCCCTTATCCTCTACCACCGAAAGTGGTCTACGGTCCACTGCAATCCATTTCACCAGAGACTTTAATTTGTCAGACTGACTTATTTTGTCTCTGAACCGTGTCGTCTGGTCTATTGTGGGCTGGCTACACCATTGTCATAGCTAATGTTAGCTCTGGTGTCACAGCAACATGTTTTGCATTGAGGTGATACCGTAGGCTTGAAAGTGCTGCAGTAATAACACTCTTTGTTGCACAAATTGCACACAAGCATGCTCCTATCCAAGCTTATCTGACCTTCTCATATATAGTCGTCCCATCTTTTGCTTGTACTACCTGGTTGTCATCTCTGTGTCGTTGTCTCTGGTTTTGTTCTGTTCATTTCCTGTTTTAGTTTGGAAAAGTCCATTTGCTCATGTGTCTCTTGTGCTTTAACTTCCGCTCTTTGTCTCAGTTTCCCTCCTGTTGGATTGTCCTGATTAGTTTCACTTGTGTCTCGTTAATCACCTGTGCCTCGTCTCCCCAGTCAGCTCTGAGTGTATAAAAAGTCTCGTCTGTCCCTCTGTCTTTGTCAGTTTGTATGTATATCGTGTATATGTTGCTATCAAACTTTAAACAAGACATGCACCATTAAAAACCATCAACACATTAAGGGCAAGAACTTCATATGTACCTTTATTGTACATCAACAAAAGGTTAATTATTTTAACAAATTTGACCTAGAAAGTTGTGCAAGACGTTGCAAGAAATAGGTGAATTAAATAATGTAGTGCACAATTTACAATGAAGTGTAAAGAATCATAAGAATAAAAAGAGGTCGTTGAATCTCCAGAGCTACATGATTTTTAGCAACAAGTATAAATTACAGTAGAACCATGAAGTCTAAACTATTTGCAATTTGTCACGGCTACGGGGTTAGAGAGTGTCAAAGACCACGAGGTGGAAAGAATGTGGTGGTAAGGGAATAAGTGGAAATAGGAGAGGATGTAGGGAGTGAGAAAGAGCATAGCTGACAACACTCCACAGTGTCATGGCCACAAGTGGAAAACTATATCTATACATATATATCTGTTCACATGCTACAAATTGTTCAGTAAAATCCTGCACCCCTTAGATGCATAATTCAAGAAATGCATAACTATTTGGTTTAAGAAGGAGACACTCAGGCCCTGAATATGCAGGCTGTAGGTGAGCTGTATGCAGCATTAATCCTGAATAAATATCTGTAACAGCAGAGCATGGAACAAATGTGAACATCAGGACACAGATGCACACACAAGACAACAACACACATTAGTACAGACTATTTAATATTCTGTCACACATTATTATGGTGACAAATGTGACAGTCCCCAGACGTTTATACATGCACACATTTTACATGTACATACATTGTTCACCTGCTGCCTAACAAGCATTTGTAGGCCCCAAGGAACTGTGTTGCACTGGGGTTGCTGTTAAACCCTCCATGTCCTCTGATTGCAGTAAAGTACGGCTCCAAGTGGTCTTGACTCAGCTTTTATGTCAGAAGGTATCTCCATGGTGCACTTGGACTCTCCACGAGATCTGCGTAGATGTTAAGCACACTTCTATCACAGGCAATGAAACCGAGAATAGAAATCTTCTTCCGAGTGGCGTGCACGTGAACGAACTTGTCCTTGTTTTTACCCTTGAGCCTGCAGAGACAGGATTCTGCTTGTTGTAAAATTGCCCTCGCATGATCCTTCGTTGAGAGCTTGATCTGTGCTTTGAGTCCTTTCGCAAGTGGGTTGTGGTAATTAAGGACGTCAAAAGCTGCAGCAGTTGATTGCAAGAAGTGAACTGTGGCTGCACATCGCCTGACCTGGTGCTTACAAAGTTCTTGATCACAGTAACACTGGGTGTCAGTCACACTGCTGCAAGACTGAGTTTCATTTTTTGTTGTCGCCACTGAACAGGTGCCATTCTGAGCTTGCTGCCAAGCTGCAGAGCTTCCTTTTCCTGTAGTTTGAGCTGTAGAGAAAGCTTTTTAAATTAATTTCAACATGTGACATGGATCCAACAGCACATGTAGCCCTCTTGTTTGATCCTCTGGATGGAAAAAAATAGGTTTTAAGTTTGTAATGCAATTTTTCCCCCAAGCTCTTCAATCATGGCAAAGTTTCGTGATGGCCCATCCCATGTCAGGTAAACAGCCTGAACTGAACTCTTTCTGTTCCAGTCAAGCTACTGATGAGGAAGCATGCAATGGGGACGTCCCAGGACTCATTGATGGTTACAACCACAATAACAAATGCCTGTGTGGCTACAGTGTTTTCTGTTTCACGGGCACCGATTTCAACATAGCCACAAAACTGATCGCGTCTAAATTCAGTTTGCTGGTGAATGTACATTTCATCCATCATCAGTGAGCAGGTGACTTCCTTTCCATCTTTCCTCCTTTCAGAGACATGACTTTTAAGAGCGGTAAAAGATGCAAATCCAGGAGCTGCTGAGATGCTGCTGCTATGTATTGTTTGAGGATGCTGCAAAGCTAAATTGAACTTCTCTCTGACAAAATTATTGGCCTTTTGTGAGTTTAGTCGCAAATTGTTGTAGCTCTTCAGAAAATGACAACTTGTCAGAATGTCTCTTAGAACATCATTTATCGAATCCAGAAGAGCGGCACGCAACTTTTTCCTGTCGGACCTTTCAAGGAGTAGAGTCTGGATTTCCCTCTTCTTGTCAGCTGACACTTCAGCCCAAGTCGTTTTTGCGAGCCACAACAAGCTAATCCTGGAATGTGTCTGCTTTATGTTTGAGTGTTGTGGGAGACTTAGAGACAGTGTAGCTGTGATCAGAGCACGCAGACAGTTGCTGTTGGTCATCATGATCATGCCTAACTGTGAGTGTCCGCTTGTGGTACACCCAGTTATGCCATCAGTGACAACCTCAATACCATCAGCATGGACATCATTCATAATAATAGAGCTGAACTGAACTCCCACTTACCTCCACAGTTATACGTACCTCCTTGGTCTTTGTGGCCCTAGTACAGTGGTTCTCAAACTTTTCCTGTCAGGCCCCCCTTTGGAGAAAAAAATCTTAAAAATCTTAAAATCTCGGCTTAAATAGTGATGAAATGAGCCAGTTTAAATTTACTGAAAGTAAATACCATAAGCAGTCAAATAGTGCAGCAACAACTTGCTCAGTGATCAGTAAAAGTAACAGGGGGAGGATAGCCTTCAGTTTTGTGGTGCTAATCTCATCAGTCATTGTTGACACCACATCAAGAGCAGTAGGGAGCATGAGATCCTCAGCTGTTGGATGTGGTTTCTTGCGATCCTGTTACAGTGCTCCAGATTAACTTGGTGGCACTGGTGCTACCAGCTTTCTTCAATGGTCGCACCAGCTAATGATTTGGTTGCCCTACTCCCTTATTTTGGATCAGCACTGCCACAGCTATTAATGCACCATGCATGATGATGAATAGTTGTTTTTTGCATAACTTAGTTATGTTGCAATGATTTTCAGTGAAACAAGACTAGATATTTGTAAAATGTTTTAAGCTTAAAATATATTTATTTTGTCACCAATCCTCTTCTAATACCAGTCATTAACTGGACACAGGCTAAACAATTGCTGAGTGTCCATGGGTAGATGGTACATTGTACCGATGTTCCCTGAACGCCTCACACGCTGCTGCTCCGGTAGATACTACATTTTACCGATGTTCCCTGAACGCCTCACACGCTGCTGCTCCGGTAGATGCTACCAGGTGTGTGCAGTGCAGCTCCTCTGACAGGTGAGCGACCAAACATTTGTTGGAAAACAGTGGAAAGTGAGTTCTACACTAATTTGCCCACAATGAAAGGTTTTCTATTAGCAGGGTTTTCTTTTTTTTTTTAATGAACGGACTGAATGAATGTCCATACCACTGGCCATCGTGTTCTTAGAAAAAACTGTGATCGCGTCTGTTTCGTCACGTCTTTACTCGTCAATTGATCATGAACAGAGATTTCGTTTTAGTTTTTGTTGTCAGTACTTCAGAAATTTACATTGTCGTCACAAATTAGCCACGGAAAAAGGGTCGTCAACATAAAGTTTTCGTTTAAGTTTTCATTGACAAAATTAACACTGCCCCGGGGTCAGACGCCCCCCCCCCCCCCCCGGCATCGCACTGCGTCCTCCCAGGGGGGCGCGCCCCACTATTTGAGAAGCACTGCCCTAGTAGGTTCTTTGAGTTTGAGGAGATTGTTTTTAAATGTTATAAAGCACTTTGCCATTGCTGTTGTTGCACATGAAAAGTGCTATATAAATAAAATTTGATTGATTGATTGATTGATTGATTGATTGATTGATATGGTGGTATTTGAAGTAACCATTAATGTTCAAACGTTTTAGACCTTCAAGCCCAAAGAAATTCATTTATATGTCTGTTCATTAATTTAGTCATCAACCAACATTTATTTGAATTGAAAAACTTTGCTTATTGTGTCAAATATTGCTGTTTGATCAAAAATACGATTTATCGCGATTAATTAATTAATTACAAAGCCTCTAATTTTTTTTAAAAGTCCCACCACTAATACACACACACACACACACACACACACAAATTCCAATCAGATCAAATAACATAGGTAAAAAAAAAACACATCAGCAGCACACTTCAATGAGGCATAACTTCATATATTCATAGCTGCACATCTGCTCATTTTGTTTGTGACCTCAACGTGTCCAGTCAGCTGTAAAAGTCAACATTTTAAAAGCAGAAGTTCAGATCAGAACATGATGTCAAATTCCTCCTCCCGCTTTTGCAACTCCTCCATGTTCCCAGGCCATGAGGCATGTATAAACCCTCCAGCAACTTCTCAAGTTCCTTGAGGGGTTCCAATATCATTAACACATTTCCTTAAGTAGTTTTTTTTCCCTTTTAGTCTCTCCAGTAGAGGTCCTAATCCACCTGTACATCAAGTTTTTAATGGCTAAGTTACAAAGTTTAATTCATAACCCTTCCTGCCTTTACCATATATCATTCTCGATACAAAAACATCTAACTACACTTTCTCTGTTTATTTGAGCTTTTCTTAGTTCATGTTCCTAACATAAGGCCGGATCCGTGGTGTTTCCTATTCTCCTAAAGGGACTCCCATGATCTATTGTTCCCTGGATTTGAACATTTTTTTTCTCCTGGTTTTGGAACAACAACAGCCTCCTTCCAGCTTTGGCATGTTCCACCTTAACAAACCTTTTCTACAATAAAATATTCACTGACAATTTATTGTAAAAAAAAAAATCTGGTTCTAGCCTGGTGGTGGTAACTTGGTTTTCTTGAAGGCTTTGTTAACGGCATGCTCATGAGCAGACATGTGTGCAACCACTAACTGAATTTGACACATTTTTATTTGAATTGAAATTTATTCAATCTAAACTGTACTCCAACAAACATCAAACCAAATGTCCCTGAACACAGATCTCCATTGTTGAACTGATGGTTTGTCTCTGTCAAAGAGCGACTGAGGGGTCTTGTTCTTCCACCTCTTAAGAAGAGGTTAGACTGAAGCTTACACACAATGATAGTGTTTAACACACGCCTGTGCATTGAATGTTTTGTCTCTCTGTTGTAGAAGTGATTGAATTTGTCCGTGTCATCATTTGTTTTTCTTTGCACCTGTGTAAAATCTTAAAGCAATGCACAATACAATTGGATTTAAATGTAATTTTAAGATTCGGAATAGCTGAGCCGATGATATGTGTTTGTTTAAATGTTTCTAATTTACAATGATGCCAGCATTTGTATTGATTGCTATGTATTTCTGAGATACAACCACTGCTGCTCCAGAACAAAACAGATGTGCTGTCTGTAAATGATGCCTGTTAGTGGTATTACATTGTAGAACAAGATAAGAAACTAACCTTTTTTTATATATAGATAGTTGGAAATTAGATGTATTTGTATTAATCATAATATTGGCACATTGTTTTGTTTTATTTAATGAATCTGATTCCTCCTGTGGTGTTGTTACTCAATCTCTAACATTTACTAACTGCTCTCAAGCCTCATGGGATTGATTTACCAAGAAATTGTGGTTAGATGAATGGAACAGGAACTCTTTTTTTCTCATGTTGTAAACATTGTAGGTCTGTGCTGCATTTAAAACACTAACAGAATAAGGTTAAAAAAGACAACATATTTTCTGTAACATGTGAGATCTGTGTGAACTGATAATGAAAGTCAAAGCTCTAAAAAACAAAATCCCTCTTAAGGTGAAACTGTGTAAGCAGATCAGGGTAAGCGCTTGAACATTTGCCTTTTCCGCCTTGTTGTCAGCAAAAACAAACACCGCCCCTCCCCTTCATAGTAGACTAGTAACTGCTCGTTTTTGACACCGGCGTCTGTCTGCTCATTTTCCAATTTGGACAACAGTGGCCCATACAACTTAAATCTGTAAAAGAGTGTTAAATTATAAATATAGTTAATACATTTTTGTTCACAGACACTGGAAAAGAACTTTAGTATTTTTGTAATTGATCGCTAAAATCCAGGATACCATTTAGAATCCGCCCAGTTAAGGTACAGCCGGTGTACGCCGCCTCCCAAAACAAACACACAGCGCAGGGCAGCGCTCTTCAGTGTGGAGCGGCTGAGCGAGCCAGTTCATTACCGAGAGCGAGCGATGGAGGGGGGAGGCACGCTAATGAAATATGGCTCTATTGTGTCCTTACTTGTGGTTCTGTTGGCGCTCTGGTTCCGGTCACCCCAGAATATGGTGCTGGACGACCGGCTGGACACCGTCCTGTCCTCGCTGCTCCGGGCTGAGCGGAAGGTCGGGATGAATAACGTCGCCAGACCGAGAGTGGCGGTTGGTACGTGAGAGCTAGCTAACGTTAGCTAATGTTGGGGGCTTGTGGAGGTTCTGGGTCAATAATCGATCCGGTCTGATACGAATGGCATCCAGAACAGCTGGAACCGAAGACAGTCAGCTGCTCCAGACTATTATTAACAACACTAACTTTGATTGTTGCTCCCATAAGCTACAAAAACATTGCAAAATAAAAAGTTAATCGCTAACTCTTTATATTTTAAATGGAATTTGGCTAATTTTTGTGTCGGTGTGTTAACCGCAAACAAACTTAGTGGTCTTTGGAAAATTATAAATTATCAAAAAAAAAAAATGCTGAGAAGATGATATCTAGTCAACTGACAATAACTGTAGCTGCACAGATAATAAATAAACTGTCACTCGTTTGCCTGCAAATGACTGAGCAAGATGAAGCATCTGAGCTAATGTGTGCTGAAGCCCAATATGGAGGAGTGAGTGTGAGGAAGGGGCAGAGGGGCAGGTTCAAGGGGGCAACTGTGAATGATCTGCACAGTCACCAGTACTGATCAGTAGCTGGAACAGTTTGTCCTCAGCATAGATCCTCCATAAACCAGCTGGACACAGGCTCATCTTGGCTGTCATGTCTGTGGGGCCCCTCAGTCCAGGCCTGCTATGTTTGAACTGGAGGGGGGCAAAGACAGGTGCATGGAAATACAAGCAAGATGGGATCAATATTTGCATAATACATGTGACCTAATACCCAAGACTGTAGCCAAGGTGTGCAGGAAAAATGATAGAAGTTGTTTAAATAGTAAGGGAGGCTGAATAGGATGCACCTCTCACTGTTGCCACAGTAAAAAAAAAAGTTTTCAAGCCCCTGTGGTTTTTAGCTCAGGTGCTTTGACAGCCGTGCAATGTGTTTTCTGTCATGATCAAATCCTAAAACCTTGTCTTTTTGGACCATGACACAAACATACTAAAAAAAGAAATCCTGTTATCTGTTGAACCTTTACCCAACAGGCCCAGCCACACAGTCCAACCTGTGTGTTGTAATTATTGCTAATTATCTAGAAGTAGGTGCATGAATTCCTATTGGTTACTTCACATAATTAAAAACTATTAGAATACCATATCAATTTCTGGCTTGTTAACATTTGGCCAAAAGCAGCATAAAAATGCACCACGCACGGTGAACACATGACGACACATTTAACTTTTTGTTTAAATAATAATAATAATACATTTATTTTATATAGCGCTTTTCTAGATAGTCGCTTTACAGGGTACAAGATGCAAACAGAAACAAACAAGGGGAATAAAAAGCAGATAAAAAAGCAATGTATAGTATACATACTGTCTAATAGTCAGTATAAAGCAACTGGAGACACGGCGAGTCAAGCTGCCAAAGTCAAAAGTTCAGAACCTTCTTCAAATGTGAAATCTACTGACACTATTTGACTTTAGGCTTCTCCTAACATGTCGCCTGCGTGTATACGTCATCTGGTGGTGTATTCCAGCATGTCTGCCTTTGTTCTGACTTGACAGGGAGTGTGTGTGGCTTGGAGCTACGTGTTGATGAGACTCATGTTCGATCCAGCAGCTGAAGCTGTGACAACACGTTTCATCCACGGTGGCAGACAGCAGCTGCTTTATTTGTGCTGTTCAATTTACAGTGTCTAAAAGAAAATGTGTGATTCTCTCTGTCCCTTTTGTCTTTAATGTCATCTCTTTATCTTGATGGTGCTATATTTAGTGGTGTTTTTTCTTGTTTGTTTGTTCCCATCCCCTCCCCACAATAACATCTTCTTATGTTTTTCTTGCTGCCACTTTCCCTCCATTCACAGGTTTCGGTGGTTGTGTTGACCTGATAGTGGACGGTGTGTCGTTGCTTAAAAAGATAGGCCTCCCTCCCACAGACCAGCCCCTGCATCATGACTACTTAGAAAATGCCGAGCAGCTGGCGCAGAGCTTTGCCTACTTCTTTGCACCGGGAGCTGCCGCAGAGTAAGTGATACGTGTGTGAAGAGCAACCCGTTTAAAAGTCGGGGAGTGAATCCTAAATGTACATTACTGCTACTACATATCCACATAACCCAGTGCTCCTGCAAACATTGCTGACTATAGTGCCTGCTGTGAGTGTGTGTACTTGGATGGAAGAGAGGAGGAAAGGCCAGAACATACCGTTTTGTGAGGGCTGAGATCAGTCAAGAACAAATTCAAAATTATTTCTTTGTGGCACTCCTCAGGGTACTATGCTCTCGACTCACATGCTTTATCCACACACTAGCTATTAATAAGATGTACACACATACAAATACGTAGAATTCTACATTTGCTCTGTTCAGCTGTCTCTGTAAATGCTTTTTAAGATGCTTGCTTTTTTTTTTAGTGCTAATCCGTATTTGCTGCTGCTGGTTTTTCCCAGATAGCGAGTGACAAGACATTTTATAAGAGCTTTGTATTTATGCAGCTGAACTTATCTCCCCTCTGTCCTCAGTCGACTGCTCCTGTTCTGGCGCCAGTTAGCCCTTGTTCATTGTCTGGAACAAACACCTAAAGGCAACAAGCTTACAAATTCATCAGGGACAGGGAACTTTTTCAGCATTCACGCTTATTTCTCTTGCCCTTTATAGCCTGTTTGGTTCTGCAGAATTTCAGATTGTTGACCCTTGATGCCCTCCAGATAATGATTTCATGTCTGGGATCATAATTCCAAAGATATAAACCAAAACAAAGAAACAGTAGATGATATGAGAAAGAACAGAAGACATGATGCAACATATCTACAAAGACCAGATAATGCTGTGTCATGGCTCCACCTTAGCAATCAGAATAACAGGACAACAGAGTCAGAAATATTTCAGATTTCCTCAGAACAATGCCAATATGAACTGGTTGTGCCAGAAACTCTGAACAAGTTCTGCCACACATGGCTTATATCTCCAGAGCACAGCCAGAAAACCATCTTTCTGCTGCTTCCTCTTGTCTGACTGACTCTCCTCTTCTTTCTCCAACTACTCTTTAGTGCAGTGGGTCTCAAACTTTTTGAGCCATGACCCCCAAGATAACATAAGTTTGTGTTTGCGACCCCCCAATGAGAATTTTTAATACATCATGAGTAATAACTTTGTTGTTTATGCATTAATGTGTTAAAAATTCATTTGTTAATTCCACAGAATAATCTCTTTACATTAACACGTTAATTTTCTTTTGAATGAATGAAATAATGAATGAATTGAATTTATTTTGAACAAATGAAAGGGAGAAAGAATATAAAAACAAAAGAAAATAATTTTAAAAAGAGACTAAAAAAGAGAAAAAGAGAATAATAATATCGCATAATCAAATCAGAATATTATCAAGTTCAAAAAAGGAGTGGGAAGAAGTACACACTTTTAATTCTGACAGCCCTAATACACATTTATTTGATAAATGTAGGCTTTTTTTACATTTATTTTTTTTGACAATGATCTGGCGACCCCCTGAAATTATCTTGTGACCCCCAGTTTGAGAACCACTGCTTTACTGTATATGTATATGTTTATAATTTTTATTGTTGTTTCACTTAAATTCTGTTTGTCTCAATAACTTAATGTGCATTTTGTGAACAAGCTCATCAGTATTTCAGTTTTCTGTGCAGCTTTGTGGCATAAAACAAGTCTGGTGTTGTTACTTGAAGACAAACTATTACAGTAGCAGCAGCTCACAGTTCACAGTAGCTTCAGTTGCACACATGAATATCCGCTAACAGACCAGCTGAACAAGGCTCTCGCTTACAGTCTCAGTGTTTAAGGAGGGGCAAAGCCAGGTGTCCTTTATAGTGCACATTTCAAACATAGTGCCATGTGTAAGCTCCAGTGCTGGACATTTACATGTAGATGAACCTCAGTGCCATTCAAGCCCTTGTCAAACAAGTTTACACACAGCTCACTGAGCTCAGAGATTCCAGGTAAATCTCTGTGTATTTTGCAGTATACAGAAGCTTTTGAACTAGTGTTTTTGGTGCACCGGTAGCAATGCATTTAATGTCCTGGGAACGTAGGAAGCATCCAAGAAACATTTCTGATGCTCCAAATAACAGAAACTTGGTGTTCAGGGAAAGGATTAGAGTCTAAACGGAAAGATGGACAGCGAGGTATATGTCTGAAGTATGTATCAACAGTGTTTGTTTGGTTTCTCTCACTGCCAGTAGAGACAAACATAAGTTCCCCCACTATAGGCTTACTTGCATAAAAGTAATTAAACCCCAGTAGGACTGGAAAAAAGAGCGAATGTTGTAACTGCGTTCCGTTGTAGCGTTGTTTCATCATTTCCCTTTCGTCTTCTTGCAGACGTTTTATGCTAAACGACACCCTCTTCAGCGAGCTGGTCGAGGGGGCCCGTGACTTACCTGGAAACAGATGGTCAGTAGGCGGCAACGCTCCGGTAATGGCCGGCCGCATGGCAACCGAGGGATGTGATGTGTTGCTAGGGGGAAGTTTCAGCCCGGATTTTACTGATGTCCTGTCCCAGCACATTACAGGTAAACCCACACAAACACACACTCCTTATTTTAAAGAATCTTTTCACCTTTTTTTGAAACATAATCGTCATCCTGCATCCCTGAATTAGTCCCTGCTGCTCCTTTTTCGCTCCCTCCTCTTCTTTTTATTATTTCTTTGTTCCTCTGTCATTTGACCTCCATTAACTCTCCCTCACCTGCCTCTGTGTACCCAGTGGCAGGTGATGTAGTAGAAGAGCCAGACATTCATCTGATCCTGGAGTATCCGTCTGGTGCGAGCTGGGGCCACTATACCTCACGTAGAGCCAACAGGTGTGTATTTGTAAGCTAGATTATATCAAAAGACATTTTGAGAATCTTGGAGGATCGTGCAAAATGAAGTGTATTAAGCCTGAGATACATTCCTCCACCGTGCACAGAAGGCTGGATTTCATGAAAGCTGTACTCAGTGTGTGTGTGTTTAGGACTCAGAAGGTATTTACATTTGTTTTTCTGTTTGTAGATATATCATTCACAGTGATGACCACAACCCCTACCTGTCCTCCATGGAGGAGTTTGCTGAGAAGCTGGAAAACTTCAGACCAGATCTGCTGGTGGTGGGTGGGCTGCAAATGATGGACAACTTCCCCTTCCAGTCAGGTAAAAAAAAATAAAGGTTAAGTGTGTTTTATCTGTTGCTGACGTGGCCCATGCAACGATAGTGAACTGGGATAGTGCTGAGCATTCACAGTTTTTCAACCCAACTGGGAACCGCTGAGACATCATGGGGAACTGATGTGATGTAAACTAAGCTTTAATGAATTATAGTAATGAAACATTAACGGAGATCTGTTCAAATTTTGCCCTGAAGCAATCACCTGGTACCTCTGTGGTACCTTGAGTGTTTTTAGTAAACTGTGAGATAAAAAAAGAGTTTGAGATTAGCATTGTTCCCTCCAGTATCACCTGTAGGGCAGGATTGTGCTGATGTGATTATTTACTGTTGGCTACTACTACTTTTATCTTGATAAGATAATTATGCTGACTTACTGCATTAGTGGTTTCTAGCTCATGGAGGTGGAATGTCAATAGTGACATCTGATCATTACTAGTTAGTTATTCAAGCGCAAAACACTGAGCTCTTGAATTTGGCTGGACTTTGGCCTCATTTAATATATTAACGAAGGCTGTTGAAGTGTCCCACAGTATCACAGGCAGGTCATAACTACCAACCCGCTCTGACCCAGACTGTTTGGACAGCAAATCAGCTGTGTTTTATTTCATGTGACAGTCCCTTTGTTATTGCCCCTTTCTTCCTCCTCATCTCTCCTCGTTATCTGTCCCTGCTTTTCAACCCTCTGTCCCTCTTTACCTTTTATTTTTGTGCCTTTTCTCTTCATTAACAACCGTCCTGCTGTAATATTTTTCCTGCTGTGCTCTGTTTATTTAATCTCCACCCTGTACTCACTCCCACGTCACTTGATGTTGTTGTTTTTTTTCTTTGTTTCCTTCACTCCTGTCACTCCTGTCTGACGGCCTTTAGTCTAACATTTTTTCTCTAATCTCACGAGTTCTTCATTCATCGTTCCAGGTGAACGAGAAGCTCTCCTGTCACGCCTGGCAGAGCTTTTGACGTCCTCATCTCCGCAGATTGGCATCCACTTTGAGATGGCCAGTTTTGTAGAAGAGACTATAATGGAAGACCTTCTTCACTATGTCATTCCCCATGTATGTATGACAGAACAACTCAGTTAATCCACACACATATTTACACAGAGAGAGAACAGTCAAACACACAGGTACAAAACTAAATCCAAGGATAAAAACAGGGCGAGGCAGTCCAGTCTAAAGGCACTGGTAATACAAGGTAGTTTGAAATTAGATTTCCGTAAGTAAATTTGTTGAATTCATTTGTAAACAAACCGCATGACTCAGCAGGAAATATATTTGCCTTCCAGTGTTTGCATAGTTTTGTTTTCATATGCTGATATGCAAAAAAATGGATGAAGCGTTCCTTTTTCCTTCTCACATACAGTCCCATTTTAAATGTAGGACAGTGTTGTGGGCACTCAGACATCTACTTCAAACTAAATAATTCGTAGGTCATAACTATGTCCCATAATCAGAACTCTTAATTTCTTATGTAACAAGGCAGTTGTAATTTTCTAACTGTATTAATAATGATTATTGATATTTATTAAGTATCGTTGGGCTGTTATAGTGATTTTATTTCACTCAGTTTAGCAAAAATACCAGTGAGTTAACACAGATGTGCTTACGGGAGTATGCTGTGTACCAACACAGAGCTAATTTTAAAGATCCAAATTATTTATTTTTTTGGTGTTTTTGTTTAATCAGAGCATGCAGCACTGGCCATTTTAATTACAATGAGAGAATATGTCATTAACTGGTTCTTTTTTCTTTTCTTTTCTTTTTTTCATGGATACACAGTTCAGTTAATTGCAGTTCAGTGATTCTTTTTTAATTCCGCTCTTCCAGGCGGACTCATTAGGGATGAATGAGCAGGAACTCCCCAACCTGCTCAGCCTGCTCAAAGGCTCCAACATCACAGTGCTGTCAGACCCAAACCCTCGTGTAGCTACCGTCCTCGACCAGATGAGGGAGGTCTATCGCATTTTGAATCAGCGCTACAAGGATGACAGTGCAGAGAGTGACACAAACAGTGGTATGAATAAGCCGCTGACCCGACTCCACGTCCACACGCTGGCCTTTCAGGCCATGATTGTGACTCGTGGCTCCCAGTGGAAGAACACCATGTCAGCCACTGCCAAGGCCTCCCTCACAGCGAACCGCCACGTCTGTGGCTCCAATGACATTGACCCCAATAAGGCCAGGCTCATCATGGATGACTCTTTCTCTGTTAGCCGGCGGGAGGGAAGCCAGCGTATCCCTCTGCAGGAGAGTAGGCCAGTCAGCTGCTGGGATGAGGATGACTATGAGATCTGTGTGGCACCAGTGCTGGTATGCACTGAGGTTTACCAAACTGCAGGAGGAGGAGACAACATCTCAGCTGCTGGTCTGGTGCTGCAGATCTAGTGAAGGACATTACGTGGTCTATGTTTGTGTAGTGCTAACTAGATGTTGGCAAATGTTGTGACTCTGGAAACTTGATCTCAGTGTGATGCACACTAGCTGTCAGGTACCGACGCAGGTATCAAGCTAATGCTATCACCTTTGCAGCTATTGGCCCAGGTGGACGACAAGGTAAACAGATCTCATGAGAGTCACATGATGGAGTGCAGTGGTTTTTAATCAGGTCAGGACATCACATTGTGATTATACAAAAACTAATTTTTTTTTTAGGAAGATACAATGAAAAACCAGTAAGTTCAAAAGCTAATCTTTTACAAATATGGGGGAGTTTTTCTGCATTTGATTCTCAGTTAGGTGTATGTGTGTTTACACCGGGTGAGGGCACTGTCACTGCTTTAATCCCTCTTGCTTTCACATTGTGTACATTTAATATTTAGTATTTACGCTGTCTTGGCCTGAGCACAGTTGCAACCAGTTGATTTGATTTTCAGAACCAAACCATACAGCAAACACCGTCCTGCTGTGTCCCACTTAGATTCCACAGGAGCAACATGTTTGCAGGTCACTGTAGTCCATCATCTGACTCTATGAATTTTAATGGCGGCTTTTCTTTGTTTCTCCAAGGCCTTACAAGGCCTTCCAAGGCCTTCCTAGGCTTGACCTTTACTCAGGATGAGATAAGGAGGGATGAGGTTTGGGTAAAGTTCAACACAGACCCCAGGTTGTTTTTGGGTAGCCTTTGTCATGGCCTACTGTAGAACAAGATCTGTTTGTATCAGTTCAACCCGGGACTCCGCTATGCAGCAAATGTATACAAAAGATTCAGAAACAGCTGAGTCTTCTGTTTCGTGGCAGCACATTCATTAGGTGTCGTCACCTACTTGAAATCTGCATTCCCAAGCCTTTGACCTCACCTGCCTTTGAGCAAACCAACCTTACGCTGAAAATGTGCCACATCTGAACCATTTTAATGAAAGACTGTCCTGCCTCTTTCCTCTTCTATCTCATTCTTTAAGTCACGGAAAGATTTACAGTAGAGAGCTCCTGTTCTTCCCAGTATATGTGAAAAGTGTGCTTAGTGGTTTGGGTGTGTTTGTGTTTGGATTGTCATTCCTCTGTGGTTCAGTTGCAGTGCAATTATGCAAAAAAATGATGTTAAAGAGACCACTGGTGGTAGCTGGATATGATGTCAAACTTTTCCTCTCTACCTCTGTTTCTCTCTTTGTTTCCTTTCTCTTTTTCTAGCTCCCATCTCTGTTCTGTTTCCTCATAATTTTATCTGTCACATTTCTTCTTCTCTTTATCTTGTCTCGGTTTATGGCTCTGTTTGAGGACCAAATAGCCAGTGTGGACTGCCCAGACAACAGAGCTGCAGAGAGAATGAGCCTCACATTCTTACATGATGTGGCTGAATACAGTGGAACAAAACAATCTCATCTTTATTATTTTTTTTAACAGGACATGGTATTATTTACTTGAAGCCATGATGTGTTACACGCCATGAATCCCATTAATCTGTGGAATAGTGGACCACTCACAAATGATTTTGTCCATATTTACGTTGTTCGACTACAAGAATGATCCAACATGGCGTGTTGCTTCCTGTTGCCCTCTCACTTTTCACCACCACACTTTCTTTTTTCTTAATTTGATGATCTATAGGTGAAAGTAGGGCCTTGACTCTACATGACCATCATCACACCTTTTAGGGTTGACTTCACTTACATTGTATTTACTGATGCAACTGGACTAACTGGGAACGATGCCATCTCTTCTCTTTTCTCACTATGTACAAATCAAACATTCCAACACAGACCAGGTGAAGTTATTTTCTCTCTTCAGAATCACACGTTTCAACATGTCGGACAAGTCCACTGCAACATGCAAGCTGACTATTTTTCTAAGACAAATTGTTATTTGTTTCTTAGTTTTCTAAAACGCGCTTGTCAAAGAGCAAAGCCCACTTTTAACAAGGAACGTTTTCATGATGTTACAAAGTATGAAGCCAAGAGAAAAAGATGAACGTAAAGGTGGAAGAAATCCCTTTAAGTCTTTTCTCTGTGTGTCAGAACTGAGTGGGTTTGATGCTGTTGTTTGGGGAACGCTGAAGGTAAATGAGCCTTATTCTGTTTTTACTTTTGTGTTTAGTGAAAAGGAATTGTTTAATACAGACTTTTTTCTATCACTAGAAGTGTTTTTTTTTGTTTTTCCTGATGTCATTGTCGTAAACGGTGATCGGGAGCCAGGAGTAACGGGTTATGTTTTTACTGTGAACTGAAATCATAGCATGCCTTCATGCTCATAAGGAACTGCTTGTGTTTGCCACCACTGTGCTTATCTAAGCTCTAGATAAGTCACATCACCCATGTCCCAAAGTTGTGTTTAACTGTTTTCATGCATGTTGACTATTCAATGCAGAATCACCTGAGATAAAATGCTATGCTGATTATGCAATCATTGCTTTGTTTTTTATTATAAGGGGGGGCTCATTAATTGAAAGCGTTCATGATCATTTTGGCTGCAAAGTACATTTTTAAAGCAAGTGAAGAGTTCATTTGCAACAACAGATAACTCAATTTTTGTAGATTTTCAGAAAACTTTTGTTGTTGTTTGAGTTAATATCAATCAAAGTGAAGTTGAGTGGGTTTGACTCAGTAGAAATTACATGACAAAAACAGATGACTTCAGTTTGATTGATATTGTCTCAGGGAGAGACGGGTAGTGGGTTTTCTGAAGGTTTGTGAAGATGGCTTTATCTGTTTTTGCAGATGAACTCGTCAAATACTTCAGGCAAGAGGGCATTTAGTTGTTTTTCTTGATATTCTGCAAACTGCAGTCTGCTGAGCTACATACTAATGACAAATACTATGGGATGTCACATCACAGCTTCTTTGTCACAGCATTATTCACCATGATGAGGGTTGTTATCTTTCTTCCCACTGCCAACATTTAACATTTCATTTCATTTGGTATTATATATATTCATATAAGTAATGATCCTGGTCTTTTATCTTGTTACTAGTCTTTATTTTTCTATTGGCTGCACCTGCTGATGCCACCAGTGGGCCAAATTTTAAACAGAAGGAAAGTTTTATTTTGATCGTCTCTGTCGGGTTTTACAGCGGCGTGCTTCCATCTGCAGCTCAAGGAGGCTTTAGACAGTTTCAGATTTCATAAAGCCCTTCTTATATTACTGCTGCACGGCATCTTTGCACTGTAAAACAAGCCTTTAAAATTCCACGTACTGTGAGTCCACTGCAGAGATTGTAAGGAGCCTGGGCTATTTTAGGACCCAGCATGTTGCCTCTATTTTGAGCCCACGTTCTGGGTTTGGGACGGCAGCAAGCTCTCCCTCTTAAATACAGCTTTTCCTTCTCAAAAAAACACAAGCACATTTCAGCACCTCTAGATTACCTCGGCCAAGCGTTTTAACAGTGCACACCAGCAGTCTGCTTTATGTTACTGTTAACTCCATTCAAGGGCAAAACCATAACCAATGTTGTTTAAATGAGCTACAATTTTTATTGTACATGCACGCTCTAATTTGTGCAATCCAGGAGAAACAGGTATGTAAACATCTAGTGTATGTAAAACCAAAATAATAGAAATGATATAGTCAGAAACTGGTGCTCCACTGACACTTCTTGTCAAATCTGCCCATGTGAACAAAAAATATTGATCTGGATTCAGGGAGGATTCCGGAAGCACAAAGTTAGTCTTCATTGACAGAAATATACATGTATTTATTATACCATGGCACAAATACTAGTCTGTTATAAAAACGTGTAGATATCAACAACAAACACACACAAACTATGTGTTTGTAATGTTTCTCAACAGCTCTGCAACTCTGCTTATCAATTTCCAGGGTCAATGGTCAGCTGGCTGACGATGTCTTTGTAATAGATAACGTTCGTCTCTTGGTCAGAGAATGCTGTCAGCATCTCATCCATCTCCTCCTGACTGAAGGGCTCTCCTGAATTAAAGACAACCATTCACAAACACAACACAGCGGAAGTTTAAAGGAACACTTCCTACATAATAGGATGAGGTCAGACATAAATAATATATCTGTGGGATAATATGCTTCTCACCACACAAAAGCTTTACCTTCTTGTGTCATATACTTTGTCAGCTCCTCAGGCTCCAGGTATCCTTTACTGTCTTTGTCTAGAACCTGGGAATACAGCATTAGTACCTTTATGTCTTAACGAATCCAAATAACCAACACTTTGTTGTTAGTATCTCTCTGCTGACAGCACAGTGCTCTCAGAGGCTACTTCATTTAGATACCGTGTTGCTGCTTGTGCTGAAAAGTGAGACCTACAGTTACCAGATAAAAGGCTCTTAAGCGACCTGATTGCAGCTCATAAACTGCAACACTGGACAACATGATGACCGTTCTCACCTCGAAGGCCTGAAACAGATGCTCCTTAGGGATGGGAGGAAACCTGACAGAGAGACAAGATGGAAGTACAAATTATTTTACACCAGTCACGAAGCAGAACATGATGGAATTAACAGATTTTATTAGCAATTTCTAAACCAACGTCAGACTGTACTTTACTCTGTTTCACTAAGAGGTTCTGAAGGTTTTCAGTGGTTTTGAAATTTTGTCAGAGGTGGAAAACATGAGGGCAAAACTCTTCATTATAGAGTATAAACGTAGATCTCTTTTAGCAGCTTTCAGCACAAAAAAAAGCACATATTGAAAAGAAAGTGACGTAGAGTATTTTTATAAAGTCAGACATTTGGTATTTTCTATCCATCCTGTGAAATATTACAGCAACTACCTCATTACTCAGTACATACAAAATATACCTGAAAATTTTATACCAATGACGGCTCATTTGCTCCCTCTGTAGTAGAACATTAAGCTGTATAATAAACCACTTGCTTGCCTGTTTGCTTCGTGATTTGCCTTCACTTACATATACTAAAGAATGTGACTGGCATTAGTCATGAGGATACACTGGAGACTGGAGCGTTATCTTACTTGTGCTCCAACAGCACTTTGGTCATGGCTGGGAGGAACCTGTCCAAATGGATAAATCCTGAGTGGTCCTCTTCCACCTGAATGAACAGAACAAAGCTGCTGGGTTTCAATTCTTGAACAGGCTCTGAATGTTCTAACAAAACTGATGCTTCTCATGTCAGCAACACCTTTCTCTGTACATTAAATACTGACTGTAACTCTTCATTTGTGTTCAGCAAATTAAACAGAATTTTAAAAATATTTATTTGAAGGTTTAGTAGATGCTGTACTGACCTAAACCTATAATACTTTGTTTTAAATAATCGCGCATCTGAGGAAGGACTGGTTGATTTATTCATCCAAATAAGACCACAATATGAATAGACAGTGCTCTGACCTCTGCTATGAAGTCATGTAGGTCTGCCTGAGAGGGGAAGCAACCCAGTGAGTACATGATGGTGCCAATCTCCCTAGAAAACAACCACAAGA